ATTGGTCAGCAGACAATTATGCCACACGGCATGATTTGCATAAGACTATGGCTTGGGAATCACAGATTTGCATAACGTTACGCTGGTGATGGCTAATTGGTCGGCCGGGAATCACGTTATTGATACGTCACGGAAATTGACAATTGTTGATATTTTTGCTCTCTCTCTCTCTCTCGTAAGTTACCGTTAAGGTGTTTCGCGTTTTATAAGAAAATTACACGAACAGGTTAAATGGATTAAACATTATTTATTGATAATTTCCTTTGTTGATCCCTAATTCCTTCAGAGGATTAAAATTAAAGGTTACTATTTTGTTTCCCTTCTATCTATGTTCCCTTTTTTTATTAGTTTTGGTGGTTGTATACTATTTCGGCCTTCCTTTGGTGGGCTGGCCTTTCGTTTTGGGATTCGACTTCGTTTTGGAGGTGGAAGGATCCAAGGTCGATCTTCCACGGGTCCTTGGCTTCTTAGAGCATAGGAATGTGAAGAAGTCGGTTGTTCCTCTTCAATGGTGGGTTCTATACCAGTTTCTTTTTCTCCTTCAGATTCGGATTCGGATTCAGATTCAGATATGGACTCAGTTTGTTGTCGTGACAATTCTGAGAAAATAAATTCATCCCAGGGGTCTATATTGGAAGGTAGTTCCTTTGAAAGGGAAGTCTCGTTGACTGATGTGGAAGTGGTAGGTTGATCTCTGAGTTCTTTCTGTTCGAATTCTTGTCGAGCAATAACGTGCTTGAGACGATTAGCATGAACTTGAATTCTCTTCTTCGTAGTTAAATTTTCGATAATAAAGGTAACGGGACTTAATTCAGTTACAATTCGAAATGGTCCTGACCATCTAGGTGCTAATTTCCGTTTTAATCCCATAGGTACGACTACTTCGTTGAGAAATACTCGATCGCCAACATGATACGTAGGTATTTTATGGGTTTGACGATGTCGAATTTGCCTTTCTCGGGCCGCCTGTTCTGCGTGTTTTTGTGCTACCTGATGAGCTTCTGCCATTCGGCACCTAAGTTCCGATGCATAGTTGTCCTCAATGTCGTATTTCGTTCTTGTAGGGCTAGTTATTAGATCGAAAGGAAAGGTTGGATCTCTACCGTATAACAGGTAAAAGGGACTGTCGTTCGTAGATGCATGTATGGTTGTATTGTAGGCAAATAATGCATACGGGATCCACTCATCCCAGTCCTGTTGGTCCTTAGCGACATAATGTGCAATGATGTCGATAAGAGTTTTGTTGAATCTTTCCACTACTCCGTTACATGC